ACACGAGTCTGTTTTTCGAGACGGAGGGGTGAGCGGAGGAGAAGCGATGACTCGTTCGTTCGAAAATTTGCGAGAAAGGCGAACCAGCCTCGCTACCGGTATGCAAAACGCGAGGATACGCGCGGACGAGCAAAGTGGACGCGAGAAGCGCGTCGAGCTCGCTGACGAAGCCAAGTGTTTTCTCGCGCGTTGCGTCGCATTCCGGGAAGGCGATCCTTGACGAGCGAGAGCCCCCGAACACGCGGTTACCCGAGTCACATATCACCGCGTGACGTCCTCAGAATTTCGCATCCGAGGAGCGCATTTAGATGCAGATACGACCGCGAACGCGGCTAAAAAGACCAACCGGGAGATCGAGGAAGAAGCGACGAGAGGGTGGCGAACGAGAGAGATCGAGAAGGTAAGAGGAGAAAAGGTGAATAGAGGAGTCGGTGGCTGCGAACGGAGGATGAAGAAGAAAACGCGAAGAACGAGATGAAACGATCAGATAGAGGCTCGAGTGGCGCGTGCGAGCGGAACGGACCTTTTCGCCAGGAACCGTAGACGATTGCTACGTTTCATCGGCTCGAACTTGGCTACTCCGTATCAACCGGTGATACACGGGAGGATCCTCCGTTCGGAAGCCAAACTTCGAGTTCTTTTTCTCGCAGCAGCCAGTTATCGCGACGGAGTACCGTTAACTCGCCTCTAGCTTCTCGCTCTACCTGAACCGAAACGTACGATCGTTCGAGTCAACCTTGTCTCGTTGTTCCCGAGACGGAAAACGATTTAAATATTCTGTCGAACGAATCAACGAGCGGTCGATCGAGTCCTCCTTCTCTATTCTACGTCCCCACCAGTTCTATCGAAACTTTATCTCCGTAGAAATAAATCGCTTCGCGTACCTCTTTGTGACCGCTATCGTAGACTTTTCTCGATGTTCCCGTAGATTGGATGTCCCCGATCGGTACACGTCGAGTGCATACCTTCGATAATTTACATTTAACGAGACACCGAGCATAAAGTACACGGAACCAACGATCGCCGTTTCCCAAAATCGTCCCGTCATTGTTTATTGGACTTTCTAAACGTTCTTGGGTCTTCTCCTACGCGGTCAGGATTACATTACATCGGGGAAACGAGCCGAACGGCCGCCAAATCGACGATAAATTTCTCCTCCGAGAGAAGATCCGGCGATCGTAGCGAACCTGTACTTTGTCTTTGAATATCGAAGAATGTTTCAAACAAGGAAAATACCATTTTTTTCCTCGTTTACGAGGACCGAGATAAAAACGCGTTACGCGAACGAGTCCGCGAAGATCTCGTCGACGACGAGCGGAAACTTTCCCTGTTATCGAAGAATGAAACGAGGAAAAGTCGAAGGATCACCAACGGTCTCTTTATCGGCCGATTGGAAACTCGAGCGTTCTCAATTAATTCAAGCGGTGCTCTTTTTCTCTTCCTTCTCGTTTTATTTAGTCTTTCTCCGTCCATCGAGAACGAGGGTGAAACGCGAGTTTCTCCAAAGTCCTGCAGGCAGGATTAGCGGTACGCGGAGAGAGATAAAACGGGAGAGTTCGAGAGAGAGAGAGCGAGTATCTTCGGGATCCCTTTATACGAATTTCGAGGCTCGCCAGCAACGCCATCAAAGCGACGTCTCGCTTCGCCACGCACGCCAACCCTTCTCTCCCCATCGGGTTGTTCAAATACTCTGAGCTAATTCTGTTTGGCTTGTTTGTTCTGACGCTGTTCGCCCTACGGTTCTGTATATTAATAAACCCATGCACTGACCGTACTTATTACGCTGGAACTTTGGACTTCGATAGAGAAGGGCCGTGGTTAAGGCCAAAGTAAGACAATCTTCTTCGTCTGCCCGGCAGGTAGTTTTCGAGACGAGAGTTCTCGGTGGTCAAAAGCTTCTGGCGGGACGCTATTGAAGCATCGAAAAGCGGAGAAAGCGCGAGTATCGTTAATCTCTGTTCGAGAAAACTGATTAGGTCGACTTAGGTGTCCCTCTTTCGACGGAGCACTCGATCTATCTCGCATTCCGTTCACGCGACACCCTTGGAAAACCATCGGTTAGAAGCGGATCAGGAAGCTGGACCACTCTAAGAGGATTCCTCTATGTCATTCTCGGAGCTTTCGCTTCATCCGAGAGAACTTGGAAGCGATAAGTGTCACGGGGAACAGATACCACGAGATGAAATACAGGTGAAAATTAATTCTGGCCTTTCGTCGTCGCGGGTATCACAGAGATTAACCCGTCGTGCCTTTCTTGGTCGACACCGACGAAGTAAGGATCCAATGAGAGGGAATGTTCCTGGAATCGCCGTCGTAATCGCGAATAACGATTTGGCGCGACCATCGAAAAAGATGTGACAGTGAAACGTTTCATGGATGGGTCGTTAAATATTCGCGCCAGTTCGCTGGAACTTTGAGCTCCCGATGACGTTCGGTTTCAGACATCCGACCCGATCGCGATGAGCTAAGACCTCGAGGAATTTCTGGAGTAGCCGTTTCTTTATCGTCGTTGCGTGCTCGACCGTATCGGTCCTTCTCCGCCGTTACGAACACTGCAACTTATTCGACAAACGCGATATTCTACGATCGCGACAGAGTAAAAGCGGCCAAGGGATTACGACGGTTAAAAAGTTATAAAGCGATCGAAGGATCGCTGGCTGAGGTTCGTGAAAAAGGTGTAAATTACACGTTTGGGGATACTCGAAACGGTACATACGCGAGAAAGTCGAGTTAGGAGCGTATACGTAATGTTTGAACGTTCCACTCGAAGACGAGGTGCGAAGCAAACTCGAGTACTCGACAAAAGGTTTCGGGGTCTAGTTTCCCGTTTGGTTTCAAGGAAAAAATCGAGCTTCCGCGCACGAGCTGTTCCCTCGATCCTTTTGCTCCGAACGGGAAGCGGAGGACGTTTAGCAGCTAGAAAAATCAACAGCACACTCAAAGAACCTTTTCAAACGAAACGGTTACGTTGCTCGATTAGCGGTACGGCACTAACGATCCAGACTGAAAGTCGACCGAGAAAAAGTAGACGAGAACCAAACGACCGATATCTTTTCGATCGACGTTCTAATTTCGATTTTATCCTTTTCGCCGCTCGCGAAATAACGAGGTTGACCGAACGATAAACCGGTAAAAGCCATCGAAAAGATCGAGCATTCTTTTCGACGAATTTCCCAAGTACGAGTCAGCGTATTACCCTATCGAGCGGAAATCGTACAACGTTCCTCTCGTACTCGAGAGGATCGTCGCGTAAAGCGGTTCAGTCGGTTTATCGGATCGCATCGCGTCCGAGCCGGGATATCTAGCGGTTCGACACCCACGTAGAATCGACAGAAGGAGTTGTCGTGTCCGAGTGAAATTTTCAGCGGCATCGTACGCGATCACATTATACGTGCACGCAGGAAACTATACGTCCTACGACGTTTAAATAAACGCATCCTCTCTCTTTCTCTTTTCGTAGCGAACGCGCGTTCTGTTCATTTCTCTCCCGCCCTATCCGGCGGTCGTCT